TGCCTGAGCAGTTGATCCTTTGGGTGGAATCTTATTAATTGCTATTTTTAGTGAATTGTGCTTTGTGAGTTAGTTCTGAATTTAGTTCGCTTTATTTTTTTTATTTTACTTTTATTTTATTTATTTATCTCCCATTGAAAATCCCCCAATTTTGTTCTACTAATTTGGAAAGAAATAATTTCCTACCCGCTCCCTGTAGAATCGACCCTACTTGCCATTGTACGCGAAATTAATATTTTTATAGACAAATCCGGTATATCGGATTAAGCAAACTCTTCGGGAACAGGATGAATCAAGTAACCCATTGCACACCTAGGGTCCCTGCTCCAGTAATTGGATTTGTTCCTATAATTATTTAATTGAGGTGGTAATTAGAACTTTAGTAATTATTATTGCACCAGGTTCGGCACCTGTCAAGAATCCTGATTACGTACTTGACATTGCAACCACAATAAATGATAAATGACATGGACAAAGAAAGAGGCCAGTACAAACGCACTCAAAGCAAGCAAGTACTAAAGCCATCAAAAGCCTGAACAAAAAATTGAATACACGCAACATAATAAGAATAAAATCGACATTGACCAAGTTTGGTCTTTAAAAAAGAATCCAAAAACAATTGGTTTATCATTCATCAAAGATAAAATGATCCCTCTTCACAACAATACTCACCTGAAAGATCCAAGTCTGGCAGTTGTGTATGTGGCTTGTCTAAGCAACCCAGCACTCAAACCCTGCTCAGAATTTCAGGATGACATGAATAAGTGATGCATAAGTTCCCAAAAGAGTTCCTTGATGGAAGCACAAAAGACATGCGGAACAGTCCAGAAAAAAAAAAGAGCAGCCACATTTTGAACTGACAAAACAGAGAGTTTGGGGAAGAATCATTAGCAAGGATCAAGCCAAATATTTACCCAAAAAAAAAAATGAAAGCTCAAAATGAATCTTGTATAACATATGAGAGCCTGTAAGCCTACTCAATAGTGCCTATGGACAATGGAACAACAGCTCCATACAGAATGAAAGCGACTGCATGTATTTAAAATCTCTTAACTAATCCTAATAAAACAATTATTCACAGTCCTCTCAATGAATAATTGTACTACTTCTGGATTTGAGGATTAAAGAGAGTGCAATTCCAAACGAAGAAAAACTGTGTCTTCTTCAATTTATTTTTTTAAGAGACTGACACTGTCTAATTTGAAATTTATTTTGATTATAACATTTGCCCGTGTGGATATACTTTCCTAATATTATTAGAAAGTTTGCTCCAGTATTTTATACGATTTGATTATTTTGGTGATCTGAAAATCCAATGAAGCTTGTTCCTGTTTACATGTCCAATAAATAAACATGCTTGCCATTCTCCTTAGTTTTACTGCTCTTTTTCTTTGTAAGAATAGTCAAATTAATTGTTTCAAATCTTAAAGATATGGAACAGCAGAGTGAGACGATGCAGCATGAACAAAGCAGAGGTTCTATGTATTCATTTGTTACAACTGCTGTCTTCTTTTTCACCACATGTGTGTTTTTTATGGCTAGAGCCTATTGTTGTATAAGAAATGTTCAGAAAATGTACTACATTTATCTGCCATATGCGAAATTATGTACAAGATCTTCAAATTCCCAGGCTATGGGCCTGATGTGGAAATTGCTAAAGTTAATTGCTTTTTAATATTCATTTGTATGAGAAGTTTTAAATTAATAGCTTGTGTTTGCAGAAGTTTATGTCGAAGAAAAATCTTTCAGTTACCTTTATAATGAGGATGACATTGTTGTTCTTAAGGAGTAAGTCCTAACTTATGGTCTTGATTCTGAGCTGTTGATCATCTTCTGAATTTATTCGAAGGCTTGATGATTATTTGTAATTATGCAGGCCTGAGACATATGCACAAATTAATGTTCCAAAGCACTTGTTTGGTGAATCTCTTCCATACCTCCAGGGTAAAAATGTCACATGTTTTATTTATTTAGTTCCTTTTTCCTGTTCTACATTGCAGATATTGTAGAAATTTGTGTGTGCCAAAGGAATGTTTAAATTTTGGATGAAATGGCAGCTAACTTATTTGATTGACATGCTTAATGATTAGAAAATACACTTCATGGACCTCATGGAATGCAGATGATATGAAAGTTAAGCTGCAACTTTACGATGAGAAGCCGATGTCTGTGTCAATTCCTCCGAAAGTGACATGTACTGTTGCTGAGGCACAAGTTCCAATAAACGGGTCTACAGCAACTCCTCAATATGTTTATCACTTTTTAGATTGTAGGCCGAAAAGAACCTCAACATGTAGTATTCATATTTGTCCAGAACCTAACCAGGCATAGTTTGTATAGGTGCTCCTGCTCTAATGCTCTTTACATCTCATCTATCTTGTTCAGATTAAGTTGCTATGCAATATCTCTGGTCCTCCTTTGGTTGTCATTTTTCTGTCATTGCATTGCAACTTAAATAGCTTGCAGCTGTGTCTTCAAGTGGTTGTGCTTGCTTGATACTTGTAAGGATTTTGTCTCATCTGTAAGACTTCTGAATGCTTTGACACAAAATCTAGTATCCCTCAAGAATTTTAGTTTACCTCAAGTTTTTCGTGTTTGAAGTTGGTGTACATATTTAAACAAATGTATAGCTCTTGCATAGTTTAAAATTTCTCACACAATTTTTCAGCCAAAAGCAAAATTTTGCTGGTGTTTCTTTGCATTTCTGTACTTCAGCAAAATTTTCTGTTGCATGAATATGCTCCCGTCCATAGTGTGTTCATGTTTGTCGGACTACAATTGATCTTCCAGTGGTTTAATGCCAGCATGTTTTGTATCAGTAAAGACGACTTCTAAGAGTGTGAGGTATCAATATCTTTGGATTTCTCTTAAATGCTAAAATTAGGAAATGAAAAGGGCGTAAGTTGAGAACTGGAAAAGAAATTTCTACCTGTATAGTCTGGTAAAGGCTTTGCATAATTGGAAAGGGTTCCTCTTGTTAAGACCATGTATTACTTATAGGAGATGGCCGGTTGGTTTACATGCAATTGGTATGTTTATTATTTATGAAACTAAATTTGTGATTTTGTTGCTGAGAGGGTACGGCGCTGGTATGTTGAATCAGCAAAATCAGTAACACATGAGAGCGAGAGATACAGTCAGGGAGAGTCTCTTTTGTTGAATTGGTAGCAGTGACTAATATGTCCTCTGAATATGAAATGACTTTGGTGGATATAAATCTTCTTTTAAGTACTACCAAAGGAATGAAAGTTTTAGACCAACAACTGAGTCTTTCGCACCATGAGATTTGTTCAGAAAGTCAAGCTTGCTAATCTCCTAGTTCTGCTTCTTCCTTCTCTAATTCTGAGTTCCTAGTTTCTCATAATTTTTCACTTTTACAGGTATAAGAAGGTTAAGCTGGACAATGGTCTCACGGTTCAGGTGAGTTGATCGTGTTCTCACCTATGATTCATGATTCTTTTCGAGACATTATTACTCTGTAGCCGCTACCAGATGTGATAAATTGCCACTATGTTAACCTAGCAAACGTGATGCAGAACCAACAATAAACAAATTTGTCTTGTGATGTTTCAATGGATGGTAAATTGCAATTTGAGACCGATTTTCCTGTTAACCAATTTCTGAATGAGATTACTGGACCAGAAATGGGGAAACCATGTGAAAGAATGAGGTGAAGCAATGTGTTGACAAATAATAATCTGTGGATCTTGGCTTTTTACTTGTGAGTGACTACATTTGTGTGAATGTGATGGACACCACATTCGTCATGACTTCGGCCCAATAATGGAACCAAGCAAGCATTTTGGACAATGTTGAAAAATTGATGGAAAGTAATTGAAGTTGGTATTTAGAGCTTTTCTTATAGATTGCATACTTAAAAAGGTATAGTGAAGGTTTGCATATAATCATGTCCACTATAGATGGTCCCTTTTTTGGTTTTGGGGAGGAGGTAACAAGTGAGAGAAAATATGTAGAATACTTGCTTAGAATGAAATATTTGGAACGTAATTGTGCTATTGTTTTACTGGAGTGTTCTGCCTAAAAGACGAAATATCCTAGAGAGACTTGTGTTTGGCAAGGAAGAGTTTAGTCTCCTCAAATTTATTTATGTTTAAACCTGATTGACAATACCTGTGAAAAGAAGAGAGAAAGGATGTACTCGTGAAAGAAACTTCTGGGGGTCGTCCTTAGGATCCTAGGATTACATTTGGTAAGGAACTACTGAGATAGTCATAGCTAAAACAGTTATAGTAGAAAAGGGGTGGGCAAGAACTCTGGGGCCAAGATCTTGGAAACTCTATGCTCTTTTGGAGGAGATGTGAAGGCAAAAAGCCGCCCTAGCAAAAGGAAAAGTACAGAGTTGCTTCAAGCAGTTCCTGTTTTTTTTCCTCTGCATTTTTACTCAGTTATCGCATGCTTATTGCATTGTTTGTTTTGGTAATACTGACACTTGGTGTTGGTTTACTTGGAGTTTTGCCTAATACATGTAATTGGGCTGATTTATAAGAAGAATCTTGTCCGTGACTTGGCATATTCTAGGGATTGGTGAAGGGGAAGCATTGTATTATTTTCTTAGTGTTCTACACAAATAAATTTGACAAGGATTTCCGTAATTGTTCATATTTTTTATGTTGCCACTTGCAACCCAGAATTGTTTTGATAAAACTTAGCATGTGGTAGCACTGTCAAAGTAAATGAATAGATTGTTTTCTTACTCTTTTTATGTACCCCCGTTTCTGTAGGTACCATCTTACGTGTTAGCTGGCGAGAAGATAATTATCAATACTGCCGATAATTCTTTCATAAGCAGGTGAATGTAATGTGTGATTCTTTTCCATGAGAAATTGAAACATACGTCATTTGCTACATTTCCTGGTCATCTTGGCATCCCAATACATGGTTTTAGGAATTTCTGATTTCCTGTTAAGCTTAGTGCACGTTGACATCTCTATTCTTGTCACCTTTTGGTAAATACCTAATAGATTGGGTTCAATTCAGATGCTTTCCAACTCAAGCTGCCTCATTGGTTTCATTTTTCCTGCTTTTTGTGGCTATATGTTAATCCATTCTATTTCAGGATCTTAATATCGTGTGGTGTCTTTTATTTTGTGCATTACAGACTTTTGACTTAGGATATCCAAAGTATTTTACGTGCCACTTTGCATATATCCAAAATGTAGGTCTGACAGCACATTTTCGTGTTGTTTTGCAGGGCTTAATCTGGGCCCTTTTGAATGCTCTGGAGTTATACCTTTTCTGCAGACACTCATTATATAGGATTAGTCCAAATTTTGTCACTATAGGTTATGAATGGGTTGATGAGAAACAAGTGTTCATTTTGGGGGTTACTGCATATGCAATATTTCTTTTCAGTGAGAACGTTTTACATTTTGCATATTTATGAGAATCCCACATTTTGCATATATTTGCCCAGTGGTTTTGGGAAAAGAATTCAGCAGTGACAAGAATAGAGAAGGAAGCATCTACTTGTAATGTGACCCATCTACCAAGGCCTAAGGGTAGCTGCAAAATTGGACAGGCCATTCAGGACAGGGACTACCATCTTCAAATAACAATTGCAGATGATAAAGGAGGTCTTGATGTGGCATCTAGTAACGCTACTATTTTGACTCTCCTTTAGTGGTACAAACTCCGTCTTGGATCTTACATTCCCATGCCCTTCTCAATCTTCTTGATCTGCTCCCAGGCTATCCAAGTTAACTGCAAATTTGGACGGCAAAAGAAGCGAGAACATAGAGACATGATGGATGGTATGATTCTAATTGCTTGAGACAATTATCCGAGAAATCGAGAAGCAAGGACTTCAATAAAACGGTACAATCCTCATATTTGATTAGAAAACGAAGCATGGGCTTCTTTATGGAAGGACTTGAGATGTCAAGAACTTTACTAGCACTACAGTTGGAACATTCCACGGACATTTCAAGTTGTTCAAGCCGAGGGGAGCCCTGAATAAGCAAGCCTCTGCACACAACCCTCGTCTCCTAATCTCCATCCCATCAAGAGCAGCACCTTGAGTTTTGGCAAGGAATAACCCGAAGTTGGCCGATTCAAGTCCAGATCGAAGCGGCCAGTTAACTTTGAGATCAACCATGGTGTTGGAAGAGAATATTCTTATTCCTTGGGGAGAAAAACGGTTACCAACTGCGCCCATGAGAGAAATGTCAAGCTTCTGGACTCCACATTCAAGTCCTGCAATTATCAAGGACTCAATTTCCAACTCAAACCCTCCAATAAAGACGAGAAACGTCGAGTCGAGAATTCATGGTTGGAGCCCCATTTCTGACTCTGAGGAGAATAACTCTCAAGCCAAAGTTTATAAACATGGTGAAGCGCACATGTTCAAGAGTTATTCCCCAGTACTGAAGGTCGGTATTAGGAACTGAAGCGAAAATGTACGCCCATGTGGTGGATAGAAGTGGAACTGAGGTGGCCGCTGCTAATTTTGTGGGGAGATATGACAAAATGTGGCTAAGAATAGCATCAGGAAGACCACTAATCCTATCAACCATTCTTGAATCTCTTCCACCAACTCTCTTATATAGACAATAATGTGGAGACTTTAAGAAATGCATTTGATGAATTAGCCGGTTGAGTTTAGTTGAGAACTGCGTTGCCAATCATATATGTTACTACTACTATTTTTCTTCCAAAATCTTTACAAGATCTCTTGGAATCCCTTCATCTCCCATATGAGGAAGTGGAGATTTGCTTCGTTAATAGTAATTTACCTGATGCATGGCACACTTAATAGCCTTTCGATTTTTCCCAGGATTACAGATGCACGCGTCTCTAGAATTGCACTTTAACAACAACAATTACGTTGTAGACTTGTAGTACTAATTATTGACGTGGAGAAACCTTGGAAAAGGAGAAATCTACATAGACACGAAAAAGATAAAGAATAGAGTATTTTCGTCAAAGAAAAATAAAAAGAAAAAAGAACACAGAATGTCACCCCCTAGTTACCAATTCCCTCAATAAGCAATTTCTTGGTGATTAACAAAAATGGATTGAAAAGCTCTGCCTTAATATTTAGACTAATTGTTTAAAACTTAAGGGTTTAATCAGAACAACAGCAGCGGCAAAAGTCACAATCACAACGTCCTCAGCAACACCCAGTGTCGCAACAGTAACCAGTACCAAAACAGCCATAACCAAAACAGCAACTGCAATCACAAATACAATCACATCCCTGCCCACAGCAGCCACCACCACCGGCTTTGTCAGTTTCCTGCTGCTTTCTTGTTCTTGGTCTTTCGCCCCATGAATGGACAACATGGAAAGTGATACAGCAGTTATTTGGCACATTTTGCATTGTCATCTTGTTCTAATTTTGGCTATTCATGTGCTAAGAAAGGAAATTTCACTCATATTTGATATTTGTGTGAATTGTAGGTGTTAGCATTAAAAATGATATCTTGAGGTGAATTTCCAGAAGACTCTCTTTTAGGGCGTGGCCACGCCTTAGAAGGTGGACGAAACGAAAGACGGACCGATCCATGTGAACCCAAGCACGGGATTGGAACCTTGAAACAAAAGTGTGGGCCTCCTAACCCTTTGAAGACTACTGGCCGGCTACAAAAGGCAAAGAGACCAAAAGAAAAGGGGATTCACATTTTTTAAATTAGGGAATTAGATAGGCTTTAGTTTCTTTTTCCCTAGCCGTCAGACGTTGTAGACTCTGCTTTTGCTTTTTGGCTTTCACGTTTTTTATTTTCTTTGCTTTGGCTTTGGCTCTGTACAATTTTCGTTGGCCTTTGCGTGTACTTTGGGGCTTCAGTACGAACATTAACGCAGAGACAAGGAAGACTTTTTCTTTTCTTTCTTTCGTCATTACTCCATTCGTGATGTTTCGCACGGGTGATGACTGTGCAATTAAACCACCCACGATTGACACGATGAGGAGCGGCTAATTTCCTCCTCTACCCAAAGGTTGACGCGAGGGCGCGGTCCATAATATCTGTGAGATCTAATCGAATTTTCATTATTTCTTCTAATTTATTGCTATTCGTGCGTTTCCTGAATTAATTGTTCATGGGTATTTTATTAATTGAATATCAACGGCCGGGTATTTGATTTAATTTAATAGTCTACTGCCACGTTAATTAAATAGAATCCGTAATTGTTCATTTAGTTAACATCTCGTGGCAACCACCATAATTGATTTTATGATGGGGAAACGCAAAATCTAGCTTAAATAAACCCTCTTAGCGTGTTTATTGTTTAGGGTTGGGTTCTTCTAACTTTAATGCAATTGGGTAATTAAATTCCTACGGTCGTACCTAGGGTTGTTATCTGGTTAGAGAAGCAGTCAATGGTCGTACCTTGACTGTCGAAAAAGTAAGGAAGAGCTGGTTGTTAGAGTTTATTGATGGCTATAACCAACCTAGTGATAAATGGATGAAATATCTTTGCATCGATGAGCATTTATTTGGACCGTGCCTGAGCAGTTGATCCTTTGGGTAGAACTTTTATTAATTGCTATTTTTAGTAAATTGTGCTTTGTGAGTTAGTTTTGAATTTTGCTTGTTTTATTTTATTTTATTTTTATTTTCCTCCCATCAAAAACCCTCCATACTCTGAACTCTAGAAGAAACGAATTATCCCCAATCCCTGTGGATTCGACCCTACTCACCGCTATATACAAAAGTCTGTATTTTTTCTCGAGTAGGTATTTATTATTGCACAGGTTCGGCACCTGTCAATTTTTGGCGCCGTTGCCGGGGATTGGTGCCTGATTAATTTGTTTCTTTTTGAGTTCATTTTTTTTATTTTTCTCTTATTTTTTTGTATATATTTTATGGCTGCTAACATTCCGTATTTTGGTGATAGACTGGATTTTAATTTTACAAGGGGTTATGAGACTCATGCTTTTTCTAATGATCAATGGGCTGTTGCAAATTGTGGAGCTTATTTTGCTTCGAATTATTCACCCGACATATGCCCTGCATTTCAAGATGGTCGAAGTACTCCAATCGATACTTTTGGAGATTTTCCACCTCAATATCGAACGTGGTATGACCCTTATTCAAACGGGTATGAGTAAGGATGGTGGGATGATTCCACTTTTAATTATGAACAAAGGCCAATAGATTTTCAACAGCTAGAGTCTCAAGGACCGTCATCCATGTCAGGTATGTCTCTTGAAGAAATAGTTAAATTAATAGCTATTAACACATATCAAATTCAACAGGAGACATATCAAATTCAACAGGAGACACGTCAATTTCAACAGGAGACACAAAGGTTGATTAAAGAGATGGAAGATGGAAGGCGTGAATTGGCATCTACAATGAGCAAATTGATTTCTCCATTTTGTGAAGAATTGCCCTCAGCGATTATTATCGACCATGAAGAAGATGAGGGTATAATTATCCTGACAAATGACATGGAACTGCAAGAGTCTCATGAAGAAGAATCTAAAGATGCAGTTGAAAAGAGAATTGAAGTACAAGAAAAGGAACCCCAATATCAAATTGTTCAAGTGGATGAATCCAGTGAACAATCTCCAAATGCAGTGACACCTCCCCCATTCCTTGATCAATATTCTCCTGACTCTTATTCTTTAATTCCTGTTAGTGAGATTGATTTTATTATACCAGAAAATTTTGAGTTTCATGACAGGAATGAGTTAAGAGTCACGATGGCAAAATATCTCGAACTAATAAGTGCCCTTGATGGAGGAATGAGTGAAGATTTAAGGTCATCACTTATTTGTTTGGCGCCATCAACTAATCCATGGGAGACCGTACCTCGTGTGTTCAAAGATTACTCTATTTACGAGGGATATCAAGATTATATAGAAGATGAAGCACTGAAACGAGTTATACGATTTTATCCTCTATGAATAAACATGGTGATGTCTAGCCAAAGACATTAAAAAAAGGCGCTGCTTGGGAGGCAACCCAAGGATTCTTTTGTTTTAGTTTTCTTATATTTTTGGAATTTTTATTAAGTGTTAGTATCATTTAGTGGATTGTTGTTTTGTGGCAGGAAGCTGGCAGTTGGACATGCCCACTCTAGTTGATCATGCCTAAGGAATGAAGTTTTGGAATTGATGGTCAGAAGACTCTAGCTTCCAAGGCGTGCCCACGCCTTCCAACCCTTCCGAAAATGAAACTTCAGTCTTCTCCTTCCTGTTGGTGTTGCGTCCATCGCCGCCACTCTACATTGTGCACGCAGCCGTCTCACCTCCTCCGCCTTAGTGTCTTACTTTCCCTCCCCG